TTAGGTGAAACACTGCCCTCCGGGGCAAAAAAAAACCCCTTCCTTTGAGACAGCCTGAACTCTGGGCTACCTCTAGTCTAGCAGCTGCTTGCCTGGGGTGACCACTGGTGTTGGCTTTGCTGTCTCACCCCAGTTCCGAGCTTTTCCTCAGCCCCATTGCTGAGACTCTGCCAGGGTCAGAACAAGAACTAGAGGGATCCATTCCCTCCTGGAGCACAAGCTGTGCTTGTGCCTGGCAAGCTGCACAGCATCCTCTCCCCGCCTCCCCTGGGAGGAGGCAGCCTGAGCTGAACAGTTTGTTCCCCTCTTGTGAGAAGCTGGGTGTGACAGGGCTGGCTCTACCTCTCTTGCAGTGCAAATCAACGAGTCCCTAAACGAGGTAGCACTCAGTGTGCCAGAAGATGCTATGCTGGTGTTCAATCTAGAACCTGAGAACCCCTTGGTGCTGAGCAGCCTCACTCAACTGGAGGAAGGAGGGCAGAGTCCATCCGGCCCCACTCCCAGATTTTATTTCAGTGACAATTCATGTGTCATCTCGCTGGTTGCAGCGGGCTCCCAGCTGGGACTTTCTCAGTGTCTGGAGCTGTGCTCCCAGGTCACTCCTTTGCCTGCAGGTGAGCTGGAGGCCTGGAAAGCTGCAAAGCAGGAGTTGGTGAAAAATTATGCTGGAGTTGTCATCCAGCAGCACCGTGCTGGTGAAATGTAACCACCTCCTGCTTCTTGGGGTGATGCCTGGGACCCTGCCTGGCAGGGGCAAAGAGAGCTCAGTTAGTAGATAATCTATCTAAGTGGATTCTTCTCAATATTCTCCTGATTGGTGGCAGCTTCAATTTACCAGGGAAGAATTGTTTTGGGGTTGACCTGTTCTGACACTGTGCATTGAGTATCTATCACAGAACTTTATCGAAGATGGGGTAGCAAACTCTGGGAACTTTGCTATGGCTGTTGATGTGGCCTGCAGCTTGGACTGTGTCCTGAGGCTTGCAGGGATGGGGTGTGTCATGGAGGGTGAAAGGCAGTTGGACCTGAGGTGCCTGTACTAACTGGATGCACTTTGTGATGGGGGCCACTGACCTGCTTCTTCACTGCCTAAGTGGAGGAAAACAAGTGAGGTCCTGCACTTCTTACTGTTTGTGGTGGCCATGAGCATTTGTCCATTCCCTTTAATGCTGTGGTGTTGCCTGATTTCTATGTGTGAGATAGCCATCTGAGCTTCAGTGCTCTCACGAGAAGTGGTCCTGCCACTGTGATAGACCATGTAGGTCTGCTGTTCTTGCTGATTTTTGAGCCTTGGGCACAGCTCCTGGCCTGGTAGAGAAGGTAATGTGGAGTCCTTTGCAAGCCATGTGTGCTGTGTCCCTCACACAAGGGCTGAGCCTTTTGCCTCCCACAGCCTTAGGTGTGGGACTTCTGGACCTTGAAGGGAAAGCGTGCCTTGAGCCAGACTTCTGAGGGGGTGTGGAGCAAACATCAGCAGAGCTTCCTGCTCTTCTGGGGCCGGGAAAACCCTCAGGACCATTTTAAAGCTGTATCCATATGTGCCTGAGCTTTGTCACACTGGCCGGTGCTGCAATCACACAGCTCTGGTTGCTCCCCAGGGCTGAGCAGAAACACTTAGAGCTTTTCATCAACATCTGTCCTGAAGTGTAGATTAGTGGTACTTGTTGAGCAACTATCTTCATTGTACTTTGCAACATTTCATAGACTCACAGAATAGCTTACCTTGTAAAGGGTCCTTTAAAGGGCATGTAGTTCAAACCTGCTCCAACAGCAGAGATGTCTTCAACTTGGTTAAGGTAATAGAATTAATAACTTCCATATTAGTAACGTAAATAAATGAGTGGTGTGTGCACTGTCGTCTGTGGTTGTTTTGATGAGGGGCTGGGCAGGGAGCTGTGCTGAGGGTGTTGCTGGAGGAACCTGAGGGAGACTACTGGATAAACCTAAGGGAGGCTTGGGGGGTGATTCCCAGCCTAAGGAAGGGGAAAGGCAGGCAGCGTTCGTTCTCCTGTCTGTGACTGCACAGAGAGGTTCGTTGAGGCATGGTGCAAGGTTGCAGGGCATTGCTCGGCCCTCCAACGCCTTTCAAGGGTGTGAAAATGCTCTTGAACCGTGTTTGGAGGTGAAGGGATGCTTCGAGCACCCAGAGCCCACCCGAGCCTCCGGGACAAGAAAGAAAGCGGTTTCTCTGATAGGAAGTGCGAGGAGCCAGAGTCTGCCCCCGCCGCTGCTTTCGTAAGGAGGAGCTGCACAATCGCAGGAAGCAGAGCTGAGCCAAGGTGGTGCAACAGGCTTGTCCCCTCGGCCAGGGGGCCGCTGGGGTGGCCCTCGTTGCTGGGTGGCTGCTTAATCAGGGCCGGTTTGGTTGGGATGGTGGATGGCACTGGCAGACCCTGGACTCAGGCTGCGGAGCCTGGTGTGGGGTTTTGGAGGGGGGAGCCCAGCAAGGCGCTGTGTGCAAGAAGCACCGCACTTGTGACCCACCTGGGCAGAAAGCACTGCTTGTGCAAGTACATGACATATAAAACTTAACATTGTGCAGCTCAGTTGTGATAGGATCAGGTCTGGAGCACCCCTGGCGAGCAACTGGACCTTTTTCCTGAGGAATTCCGTGCAGTGGCTGGAAGGTTTAGGACCCCATCCTCGCTTTTTCTTTCATTTTCTACAGTTTATGTACAGGGTGTGTAATGCCACTGGTGTCATGTGGAGTCCCTGGTCCAGCACTCACTGATATATATGAGTCAACCGAAATAAAACACAGAGGTGTCGCCAGCAAAGCAGGGAGCGGCCGCTGGAGCTGGGTTGTGGCCAGGGCGATGGACTCAGCACCATTCTCTGCAGTGGTCTGCCTCATTGGCCAGATGTCGGGCGGGGAGATAGCTCTGGGAGAGTAGGCAGGGAGCCATGCGAGCACAAGAGGCTCCTCATCGCACACAATCAAACACGCTTCTGCTGCCAAGCTCTTCCATGTGGAAAACTTGCAGCAGAGGCTGGAGTATCACAGACCCCAGAGCCAGTCCCTAGGCTGTGCTAGGGATGTATCTGCACTGGGAGTTTTGAGGAACTGTTGTTCTAGGGTCTCAGCTTGTGCTTCTTCAGGGATGCTATTTTTCCTTGAGTTCTGTGGACTTGTGCTGATCCCATAGCCAGCAGCTGTGAGCCAGCTTGTAAACACACGCACGGCCCCATGCTCTGGTTTAGGCTGGTGTTACAGTCCCTGCTTGCCTTCCCTGCTGTGTTCCCTGTGTTATTCCCAAAGTTGATGTGTATCCCACACACGTCCCTGCAGGTGTCTAGATCAGCATCGTGGGAGAAGGCCACCAGACCTAAAACAAAAGCCTTTCAGGGGAAAATATTTTTCTCAGTCCTTGGCAAGTCCTGTGCAGATGTTGCTGAATGGAAACTCTCTCTTTTTTGCCTGGTGACACCCTGTACATCAGTTAGTGCCATCTCCTTTCCACCATAGTGACATACTGAAAGTTATAAAAGCATGAAATGAAATTTCCCTCCTATTTCGAAGGAGGGCCTGGGCTGCGTGGCTGGTACAAAACACCTCATGCTCATGGTTTTAAGTGACTCAGAATCTCTTGGAGAAGGGGACTTTCAGTCAGTAGCAGGAGTAAGACATGCCCTCCTTTTCGAGAGAAACCTACAGCTTGTGTCGGCATTCATCCTATTTTTAGCTGCTAGCACCAGCTGCTGGATATTGGTGGTAACAGAAAAACTAGCAGAAATCTGAGTGTGTGGTTGAAAAAGCAGCTGGAAATACAGTGACAGAGCCGCAGCCTTCTCCCAGCTCCCCAAACCGGGTACCTCAGGCCCAGGGCTGCTGAACCCCCGTGGCGGCCAGTTGCATCAGGACCGCTTTGGCAAGGTGTCTGGAGGCAGAAAGCAGAGAGGTTGGGCTAGGATGTCTGAAAAAAATACAAGTAGGGTCACATACATCCTCTTCTTCCTTTTCCATGGCCACGGGTGTTGCAACAGGGGCTTGGCTGGAGACCCCCACCTGTGCATTTCTCAGGGCACATGGCTATTCTGGGGGGAGTGTCTCTTGGGACGTGCTGTTTGGGAGCTTTCCTCACCCCTGGGGCAGCTGGCAGCTGGCCGCCATGGCGCATCCGCTGGGGCTGGGAACAGGAGGCTGCTGGCTCTGCAAAAGCCATTTGCAGCCTCTGCCTGCATTTGGCTGCCCGAAAAACATCCTCTGCTCTGCTTGTGTGGGAAGGCTCTGCCTGGAGCCTGTCCTGCAGCCCTGGGACATGCTGCCCAAGGCATCCTGCCGCCTGGTCACAGCCCGGTTTGGCCCCCACCCTTGGGGGCATTTGGGACGGGCACCAAGGGGCAAGTTAGGCACAGCACAGTGACGGGCTTACAGGCACAGCACTGCTGCATGCTGCCAGGGAGGGGACATGGGACATACCCCATCCCCATCCCCTGCTGCCCTTGGCGATGCCACACAAATCCTCCCCATGGGAATGTGGCTGTGGGGAAAGTCAAACTCTGCAGGTCTGAAGCAGAGCAGAAACCAGAGCCGAGCCCCGCATCCCCACAGAAACCCTTTATTTTACACCTGGTGCCCAGCCTTCACACTGGGCTGAACTTGCCTGGGGAAGCGTAAACCTGTGGGCTGAGAGCTGCTGATAAACGCAGCACATCAGCGTGGGCAGAGCCTGGCTGGGGCAAACGCCGTCTCTTTGCAATCGTGGGCCTCCTGGATTTCCCCGTTTGCTGTTATTTTATCCGGGTGAAAACACTGGTGCCAATCCTACAGGAAACCCCAAATGATTGTGGTTCACCCAGCTGGGGTCACCTATGCTGTGGTGGAGGGTACAGAGGGGAAACCTGAGGAGGGGCACTGTGTTCCCCACCACCTCTCTAGGTGCTGAGTGGGATGCCCCGAGATCTAATACCCTGTATTGGAGCCTGCACCAGGTGCTGACACGTGTATTGCTCTCTCCCTGCTGGGGAGAATGCAAGGAGTCCTGGGACCAGACCCCATCCCTGGGTCACCACTCTGGAGCACAAGTGGGATGCAGGTTCTTGCCAGGTCACAGGGATTCTCCTTAGCTCCTCCTCCTCACCCATGACAAACCCATTTCATCCACCTGTTCCTCCCATGCCTTATCCCATGGGATTTCTCCCTTCTCCGTCCCAGGGCGTAGGAGCTTGTGTGGTGGCCAGGACCCAGTGCTCACCGGGTGGCTTTCCAGTCCTCGGCGGAGCTTTCGGCTGCCTCTCGCAGGAGCCACATAGTGTGCAGGGTCTCCTCCCCCTTGGTGCCCACGTAACACTGGCCCAGGAACGTACTTGTCTGCTCTGTCTCCGAGTCTGGAAGGATCCAAGGTGATGTGAATTGGGGTGGTGAGGCATGAAGCCACCCCTCTGTGTCCTGCTGGCATCCTCTCTGCAAGGTGATGCTCCCCCCCACCTACCTCTGAGCTGCCAGTGCACAGTGAAGGAGAAGATGGGCTGTGGGACCAGTGCTGCATCCTGCTGGGACCCTTCCAGCGGTGAGGTGAGGATTTCGGAGCTGCCAGCGGCAGGGCCCGGGCGGGAGGGAACCGGGGAGCTGAGCA